AAAATTGATGGCAAGATGGGGGGGGCTCAAAGTAAAATTACCTATTTAACAGAGGGGGTGCCTTAAATTTCACTCAAACTTTTCATAATTTTTGATGTCTCTCAAAATGCTTGAAATCGCGTTTCTAAGAGTTATTTCTTTCAAATTTTGAAAAAAATTCAAAATTTTCTGGGGAGGACCAGACTCCCTTAATACTCCCGCCTTTGGCGTTCGTTAGATCCAAAATATGTGTCGCGGTCCCTGACATCTGCATAAAAAGTCCACACTACGCGCCTGACTAATGGAAATCTAAATTTAAAGACTCGTTGATGTGGGATTGAAATTGACCAAAGTATGAACTTTTTTCAACTATTGATTTTTTTAATTTTGTCACATAAATTGAGGATGTAGTTCTCACATAAATTGAAGATGTAGAAGCTGAAAAACATATTGATGATTTATTAGACATAACAAGCACAAGTAATATCAAAGTCGTTTTTGACCATAAAAATGTTACATAAGCCTTTTTTGGACCCTGAAAACCTTTGCCTTGAAAACTTTGCCTTTACTCCAGATGAGTAAGTCACCTCTTGCATCTGGGTTTGTCTTTAGCGAATTTTGCGTTGCTACAGTTGACTCGACTCGCGTCTGCTTGTTTTATAACAAAAGTTAATAGTGAGGGGGGAGGGGTAGGGGTTCGACGTTACTTCTAATATAGCAAAGGGGCAAAAAGGGGGGGGGGGGGGGCGTAAGAGCTATTTTCTTATGCTCTAAGTGGGGAATCTGACCAATTTTCTGCTTAAGAAATCCGGTTTTACGCCCCCCCCCACCCCCTATTGGTAATTATTGCACAGTCCCTTATCAATCAAATCGATCAAAAAAATGTTCTTCTAGTCCTAAATAAATAAAAATGTTGTTAAAACCTTTTACGTCAAGCTGCATTCACCTCATGTCACCAAAACGAACCAAGACTTTAAGCTGGTGTCTGACAAATATATAACTTCACTTGTARTGTGCTTCTTTCAGAGACGCTGAGGCTAATAGGGGGACAGCTCTCTAACGAGGGKCGAGTTGAGGTGTTTAAATATGGGTTCTGGAACAAAGTATGCACTTACGGTGCATGGTGGGTGGACAGCAGATGGAATTCCAACACTGCTAATGTTGTGTGTCGATCATTGGGTCTACCAAGCGCTTCTAGTGTATTGGTTTATCATAATTTTGTAGGGACATCATTCCCTATACACTTCATTGATGGTTATCAATGCTCTGGTACGGAGACTAGTATAGAAGAATGTTCGAGTATTAAAACACCATCAGGATGTCATCAAAGCAGATTCAATTATCAAGCAGCTGTGGTATGTGGACATTTACCAGGTAATTAATTTCTTAGTATTTTCCTATTGCCACCGACACCACCACCACCACCACCACCACCAAAAACAACAACAACAACAACAACAACAACAACAACAACAGCATCACCAGCAACACCAGCACCAGCACCACCGCCAGCACCACCGCCACCACCACCACAGCAACCAACATCACCACCACCAGCACCACCAGCACCACCAGCACCAGCACCACCACCACCACCACCACCACCACCGCCACCACCACCACCACCGCCACCAACGTCACTACCACAACCACTAGTAAGTGTCCAAATGATCAATGAACATGCTGCAGTGTAAATCGATTGTAATTCCTCGGTTCTTCTTTTTATAGCTTTCCATCAAAAAGTCAATGAGATGTGTGGTGTTATTGCAAGCCCTGGATATCCAACGTTTATGATGCAAGCATACTCTCAATGGACATTCGCACAAAATGTTACAGGTGGTCGTCTCGCTGTGTATTTTGAGGAGCTGGATTTAAGGCGAATTTCGGGGTAAATATTATATGTACTTAAAATTGCCCTGACACATATTCCTGCATTGAATCATGCCAAACGTTATCATGCTTTATGTTATTCAAGCCCATTTGTGAAGCTAATTACTTCTTTGAAGTCACATACATATAATTGTTATTATTATTTGTCCAAATCATCGATTTCTTTTTTTTCTCACAGACACGCATATAAGGTGTCTACAGTACTTGACTATGACTTTAACTATAGTGATTTGTGCCAGATTGATAATTGTTTTAGTATAATTTCATAAGTGAATATTCATAAAAATAGAGAAAAAAGAACTACTGCATTTTCGTAAAATGCAGTGTGGCGGGGATTGAAGATGGCGGTCGAGGGCCGCTCGGATTGACAGCAAAGTCGTCTTCTTGTAATAATTTCCATGATCTTTCTTTCTTATGGACACGTAAAACTTTGATAGACACTTGTTTAATTCACTTGTATCCATGTCTTCAAAGCTGACAGTGAATTCAGACTGTTGTTGAAACCATTCTGTCAAAAAATGTATCGAGTTAAATGTAAGCAAACGCGAAAACCTACAAATTTCAGCCTGTTTGACGTAAAACGATAGATAAAAATGTAGTTTTTAGACAATGTTTTTATTATTGAATAAACAAAACTTACCTGTAAAAAGTTTTAATCGAATTTTTTTTTAATCCATTTGTTTAATCCAACGACTCGCGGACGACGCCATTTTGCCAAAAAATCCAATATTGACCTATAGGTGAACATCGCTCATTGAAGCGTCAAATTCGACCAATCAGCGTGCTAGAATTATGATATTCACTTATGAAATTATACTAATTGACGATGTTCACTGTCATGGTTCCCTTCAGGTCCAGTAGAGTTACAGTCCAAGGTTCATCATCATTATCGTTCAGCAAAGAGTATACTAGCGAWTATCGTGGTAAGCCTGGGATGGTSATKGATTTGCCAYGTCAACTTAGATTCTATTCACCGTATACTTCAAATCGTGCTGGTGCCAGTAGTGGATATCATCTTGGCCGAGGGATGCGAGTGCGCTATATTGTTTACAGTGAACCTGAAGTGGGAGGTAAAAAAATATCATTCATGTAGTTCCGGATCTTCAAAAATCGTCCATTAATCCTAAGTTTTTGGTACCTTTTATTTTGGAGCTTTTTAAGTGTTTAAAAACACCTAAAGCAGAAGGGGATCATTGTGTTGATTACTGTTGTATTAATCGCCAAAAACTGCAACCCGAATAATAACTTTGGTAATCTCGGGATTTTCCAACCAAGAAAAACAGAAGTCTATTTCAAACGATAAACATCAAGTTTTGTGAAAACTCTGATGCCTCTTTTTTAATCATTGAAATGTCTCCATGGGAATGTAATGTAATGTTTGCTTCAGGAAAAAAAAAATATGGAGACCTACCCTGATACCAGAGACGGGTCTTTAATTCTTTTGTTTACTATATTATCGATTTCGCAGCGAGACTTTTCCGTTTATCGGTCTGTCTTTTATGCCAAACCTCTTGGCATTCTTTATTCACTTCCATGCTGTCAGTATTTTAGCAGTTAATCACAGATCGGAGCTTTAATATGATATGTAACCTATGTCAGTGATGAGCTATTATTATTTTTTGACATGTTTTACAGTTTAAATACTCCCATCTGTGATTGGTTTGCTAAAATACGGCATGAAAGTGCCTACGCTTGAGACCAAAGGATTGGCCTGAAAAAAAAAAAAAAAAACGATTATCGACGAAAACGTCTCGCAGCTTCGCGGCTCGATAACATAGTAAGCAAAGGAATAAAAGACAAGCCTCTTGAATCAGAGTAGGAGAAACCTAGTTCATTGCGCTCTTATGTTACAGTACCTGCCTTATCGACTTGGACACTGTTATTATCGAGCAAGCATTATAACAAAATCACAGCTAACTGGACTCAAGTTGTCGTCTCAGGCTACGATAATGTCGGATATTTGCTGTCCTGCAATTCTACCCAAGATTGGGCAAAAGAAGTATCGTATGCAGTTGGAGAAGTCAATTCAACATCTTTAACCTGTAGTGAACTGTTTGGATACACTCACTACAATGTACACGTGTTAGTACAGCTAAGAATACAAGGGAAAGACATCTATACGACGTACCAGAGTCTAAAGGCGTCTATAACAACTCCACAGTCAGGTAAGGGACAGTCAGGTAAGGGACTGGGGGGGAGGGCATCTAAGTTTCTGTGCTTAAAAAGGGGGCAACGTCTAACATCTATTAGAATCTTAATCGGAAACTGAAAAATCAACGGTGACAGATTCGAAAACTTCTTAAGAAAAGCGTGTTACGATTCGCGACAACTTAAATTAATAAAATAATCAGCAACTAATAAGCTTTAGTTATCAACTAACTAAGAATTCACTGGGGCATGAACACAATGCCAGAAAACTTTGTTTATGCCTTACTGAATTCTTAATTAGTTGATGACTAAATCTTTTTTTTTTGGGTGATAATTAGTTTATAATTGTTTCCCACGTATGTGACTTTGACACTATAATTGGTATTCACTGATAGCCATTATATGGACGTCTTCTACTTCTGCAACTGAGACAGGACTGCCTTTCAAAATGTCCTATCTATTTTTTGTCCATTTTTAGTTGTTTGTTGTAGTTATTGTTGTTTTCTCCTTTTCTTTTTTTTTAATTCCCCTTTCTCATCCTCGAGCTTCCTTTTTTGGCATCTCCCACTCTAAAGAAACAACTGTACAGCTTAGCTTAGACGATGAAACTCGCTACAACAGACTATTTTCAATTAGTTTCCGAGAAATTCCTTTTTAACTCGAAGATTGCGAAACAATCGAAGAGTTATTGGAGGGGGACGAATCTGTCACTCACTCAATCACTCACTCACTCAGTCACTCACTTTCCTGTAAACTTTTCTATTCTCATTATTCTCTATTAATTTTCTCATTAAGTTACCGTTACCGGGTTCCCTGTTCTATATTTGATTGAATTTATTTATTTTTTGGCAAAGAAAGAAATCTAAAGAAATGTCAATTCCTCTGAGTCTTGAACTTCAGACCTCTGAATTAAGCCCCGTCTAGACGAGCAATTTTTATGTGACAATTTTTAATTGCCCGTGTAGATGAGCAAAATTGGACAAATTTTATGTGACAACTGTAGTTGCTAGTTTTTATGTAATTGTCACATATCGATAATTTCCCGTGTGGACGGGCGTCACATAAATGTGGCAATTATTTCGACGTCACACTGAATCCACGTCTCAACATTTTGCACACCAACCAAGATGGCGACACCGATAGTAAGCAGAACGACTGGATTCGACAGAGAGAATGCTATTATTGTTGTTGCAAGAGCTAACACCGACTAAATTTGTTTTAATAAAACTTTNTGACACATATTCCTGCATTGAATCATGCCAAACGTTATCATGCTTTATGTTATTCAAGCCCATTTGTGAAGCTAATTACTTCTTTGAAGTCACATACATATAATTGTTATTATTATTTGTCCAAATCATCGATTTCTTTTTTTTCTCACAGACACGCATATAAGGTGTCTACAGTACTTGACTATGACTTTAACTATAGTGATTTGTGCCAGATTGATAATTGTTTTAGTATAATTTCATAAGTGAATATTCATAAAAATAGAGAAAAAAGAACTACTGCATTTTCGTAAAATGCAGTGTGGCGGGGATTGAAGATGGCGGTCGAGGGCCGCTCGGATTGACAGCAAAGTCGTCTTCTTGTAATAATTTCCATGATCTTTCTTTCTTATGGACACGTAAAACTTTGATAGACACTTGTTTAATTCACTTGTATCCATGTCTTCAAAGCTGACAGTGAATTCAGACTGTTGTTGAAACCATTCTGTCAAAAAATGTATCGAGTTAAATGTAAGCAAACGCGAAAACCTACAAATTTCAGCCTGTTTGACGTAAAACGATAGATAAAAATGTAGTTTTTAGACAATGTTTTTATTATTGAATAAACAAAACTTACCTGTAAAAAGTTTTAATCGAATTTTTTTTTAATCCATTTGTTTAATCCAACGACTCGCGGACGACGCCATTTTGCCAAAAAATCCAATATTGACCTATAGGTGAACATCGCTCATTGAAGCGTCAAATTCGACCAATCAGCGTGCTAGAATTATGATATTCACTTATGAAATTATACTAATTGACGATGTTCACTGTCATGGTTCCCTTCAGGTCCAGTAGAGTTACAGTCCAAGGTTCATCATCATTATCGTTCAGCAAAGAGTATACTAGCGAWTATCGTGGTAAGCCTGGGATGGTSATKGATTTGCCAYGTCAACTTAGATTCTATTCACCGTATACTTCAAATCGTGCTGYTGRCAGTAYTGGATATKATRTTGGCCGAGGGATGCGAGTGCGCTATATTGTTTACAGTGAACCTGAAGTGGGAGGTAAAAAAATATCATTCATGTAGTTCCGGATCTTCAAAAATCGTCCATTAATCCTAAGTTTTTGGTACCTTTTATTTTGGAGCTTTTTAAGTGTTTAAAAAAACCTAAAGCAGGAGGGGATCATTGTGTTGATTACTGTTGTATCAATCGCCAAAAACTGCAAGACGAATAATAACTTCGGTAATCTCGGGATTTTCCAACCAAGAAAAATAGAAGTCTATTTCAAACGATATACATCAAGTTTTGTGAAAACTGTGATGCCTCTTTTTTAATTGTTGAAATGTCTCCATGGAAATGTAGTGTAATGTTTGCTTCAGGAAAAAATATGGAGAAACCTACCCTGATACCAGAGACGGGTCTTTTATTCTTTTATGTACTATATTATCGATTTCGCGGCGAGACTTTTCCGTTTATCGTTTTTTTTTTTATGTCAAGCCTCTTGGCATTCATGATTCACTTTCAAGCTGTATTTTAGCAGTTTAATCACTGATCGGAGCTTTAATATGATATGTCACCTATGTCAGCGATGACCCATTATTATTTTTACATGTTTGACAGTTAAAAAATACTCCCATCTGTGATTGGTTTGCTAAAATACGTCATGAAAGTGAGATTGCCTACGCTTGAGACCAGAGGCTTGGTCTGAAAAAAAAAAAAACGATTATCGACGAAAACGTCTCGCAGCTTCGCGGCTCGATAGCATAGTAAGCAAAGGAATAAAAGACAAGCCTCTTGAACCAGGGTAGGAGAAACCTAGTTCATTGCGCTCTTATGTTACAGTTCCTGCGTTATCGAATTGGACACTGTTATTATCGAGCAAACACTATAACAGCATCACAGCTAACTGGTCTCAAGTCGTCGTCTCAGGCTACGATAATGTCGGATATTTGTTGTCCTGCAATTCCACCCAAGATTGGGCAAAAGAAGTGTCGTATGCAGTTGGAGAAAACATTTCAACATCTTTAACCTGTAGTGAACTGATTGGACTTACTCACTATAATGTACACGTGCTAGTACAGCTAAGAATGCGAGGGAAAGACAACTATAAGACGTACCAGAGTTTAAAGACATCTATAACAACTCCACAGTCAGGTAGAGGACTGCGCAATGTTTATCTGGAGGGGGAGGTTCAGAATCCAGGGGGGGGGACATCTAATTTTCTAATTTTCTTTGTTTATGCCCTACTGAATTCTTAATTAGTTGATAACTAAATCTTATTATTAGGCGTTAATTAATTAAGAATTGTTTCCCACTTATGTGGCTTTGACTCTATAATTGGTATTCATTGCTAGCCATTATATGGACGTCTTCTACTTTTGCAACTGAGACAGGACTGCCTTTCAAAATGTCCTATCTATTTTTTGTCCATTTTAAGTTGTTTGTTGTTGTAATTGTTGTTTTCTCCTTTTCTTTTTTTTTACTTTCCCTTTCTCATCTTCGAGCTTCCTTTTTTGGCATCTACCACTCTAAAGAACCGACTGTACAGCTTAGCTTAGACATAGGCCGCCCAACTAATGCAGACAGAAAAGAACGAATGCGCACGCTTTTATTATGAATATGTATCGGCGCGCGCTCTTAGCAAAAATGCGGATTTCCTGTGGTGTTACGTCACGATCGCGCGCCTCGCGGATATACTCAACCTCGTTCCCAGGGCTACTCTGCGCCCAGAGATAGCCCTGGCATCGGCCGTACCGGTCAAATATGGATTTTGATTGGCTAAGATTTTTCTCACTTTTCATTGGTTGCTCATTTGTTGTGACCTTTTGACACAGAAAAATGGAAGAAACAATTCAAGTGTAAAGTTGATGGAAATTTTTAAACTAAAATACCTGAGTTCAGCGTCTACAAGATGCTAAAACTACAAAAAGAAAAAACATGAAGTAGTCTATCGCCATGCACTAGGTCTAATTACAGTAAGTAGAAGTGAAGATGTGAATATTCGTGAGACGTTTGATCATGTTGAAGACAAAAAGAAAGCGAAAAAGACTTTGCATAGCATTACAAAATATTTTTTGCAATATTTCAAACGAACCACCATTTAGAAATTATTGTAAATGATATATATATAAAGTGTAATAAAATTACATGTCATTCTTGGCGTACTTTTATCGCCTTGTACATCTGATCGCCGTTCGTTCTCGTAGTGGGCACGAAATGTTATGTTCGGATTTTTTTATTTANTATTCTCATTATTCTCTATTAATTTTCTCATTAAGTTACCGTTACCGGGTTCCCTGTTCTATATTTGATTGAATTTATTTATTTTTTGGCAAAGAAAGAAATCTAAAGAAATGTCAATTCCTCTGAGTCTTGAACTTCAGACCTCTGAATTAAGCCCCGTCTAGACGAGCAATTTTTATGTGACAATTTTTAATTGCCCGTGTAGATGAGCAAAATTGGACAAATTTTATGTGACAACTGTAGTTGCTAGTTTTTATGTAATTGTCACATATCGATAATTTCCCGTGTGGACGGGCGTCACATAAATGTGGCAATTATTTCGACGTCACACTGAATCCACGTCTCAYCATTTTGCACAKCAACCAAGATGGCGACACCGATAGTAAGCAGAACGACTGGATTCGACAGAGAGAATGCTATTATTGTTGTTGCAAGAGCTAACACCGACTAAATTTGTTTTAATAAAACTTTAAAGAATACGATATATTTTTTAGCATTACATTATGCCATCCTCATTCTTCTGAAACATGTTAAGATTAAAGAAATAAAAAAATTATTAAAAAATATTAAAAGATATATCGTATTTTTTAAAGTTTTATTATCTCTAGTGCTACTAAGAAACTATGCTAATTAAATTCGTTTTGTTTATTGACATCTCCGCTGTGCAAAATCACAGTTGGCGTGAGTCTTCAACAATAATTTCTGGCTGCCTGTCAACACGGACAGAAAAAATGTCACATATAGTTGTCACATAAAAACTTGCTCGTGTAGACGGGTCTTAGAAATCGAAGGCACTTCCATTCGGCCACGCGTATAATTGTGGTTAGACTTGTCTTTGAAGTGCACGTGCACGCTCCTGGTTGTCAAGAATCAAAGTTAAAAATAATTAGTTTTAGCGAAAAAAAATTGTATTCATAAATCGTTCACATTAAATTTCTATTTGTAAAGTAAATCATAATTTGATTCGTCTTACCGTTCAGTCACAAAGGTTGAAGCAAGCAAAGAAGACGATCCTCCAAATTCGTCGTTTTGAAAATGATTGTACGAACGTGCTGGCCCGTGCTTATCGAGAACCCAAGTTAATATTTCTTGATATTTCATTTTAGAGGATGTTAAAATACTTAGATCCCTCCTTTGACACACAGAACACTAGTTTCGACTTTACTAAACCTTTTCAATTCACAACAGTTGTAGATCGAGGAATTGAAAAAGTTGAAAAGCTCTAAGACGAAACTAGTTTTCCTCAACCAAATCTTGTGTGTTCTGTGCGTCAAAGGAGGGATAACAGTTGTTTGACATCCTCTAAAATCAAGTTAATATTCTTGCACTTTTTATACATCAACATTCAAAGACTATCTGAATTCAATTTGAAAGTGTTTTTTTGCATAATAAAGGAATGTGTTACAGGCTGTAACACATCTGTTGCTTCTAGATACAAATCCAAAATTTCATTGCGGACTTACTTGGACAGTTTCTTTGTTATCTAGGTTTGAACATAAATGTACCAAAAACACAAATTTCTCTCTCCGACAGATTAAGATATTTTTTAAAAGAAATTGTCCCTTTAGCCTTNAGTCAAGACTGTTTCTTTTAGGGCCACAGTTTGCTAAACTGGATTGACAAACCCTCAAAAATGACTTAGTTTTTCCTTCTCTTTCTTTGATGAACAAGTTTTTCTGGACGTGCATTCAAACACGGATCGGAATCTAATGAAATTGGCGGGAATCTTCCAGATTGCATTAAAAACGTGTGAAAATTAGCTTTTCAGAATGTTTTGAAAAGTTGAAAAAAGTCAAATGTGTTGCTCTCCGAACATTATAATTTTCCAAAACCAAATAGCGCCTGCATTCAGCGGTAATCCACACTAAACACCCACTGAGAGTGGGTGTCACGTGACCGGCCAATGCCAGGGCTATCTCTGTCCGCCATTTTGAAAAAAGCGAGCAGAGTAGCCCTGGGAACGAGGTTGGGATATACTATAATCTTATCGCGAGGCGCGAGATAGTGACGTAACCACAGGTAATCCGCATTTTTGCTAAGAGCGCGCGCCGATACATATTCATAATAAAAGCGTGCGCATTCGTTCTTTTCTGTCTCTAAATGCATTAGTTGGGCGGCCTATGGCTTAGACGATTAAACTCGCTACAACAGACTATTTTCAATTAGTTTCTGAGAAATTCCTTTTTTTTTTTGTTATTGCATGTTTTAATCTTCCTGGTGAGCGTGTGTATCGTATTCAAAATCGATGTTTGATTGAATACACCTACTTGCGAAAACTTTGTCATAAAAAAATAGGACATTTGTATTTCAGTAAAAAGGAATAAATAAAAAAAGACAAAAGAAGATCACTGAGGCTGAACGCTTTCTTTTGTCTTGTTTTAATTTATTCCTTTTTACTAAATTCAAATGTTCTATTTTCTATGACAACGTTTTTTCAAGTAGGTGTATGTATTACATTTTGTTGGTACTATTCTCTAGTTCCAAGGTCTGATCCTCCAGGACTTACATCCACTGAGATCACATCAAATACTGCAATTTTTCAATGGCAACAAATCCCCAGAAAAGATGCCCATGGTGTTATTCTCGGGTATATAGTAGATCTCTACAGTTATTACAGTGGCAGATATTGGGGAGAAATAAAAACAAGTAACACCTCTATAGCCTTCAAGGATCTTTCCCCTGCTAACAAATATCGTATGGAAGTTAGAGGCTACACTGCAGTTGGATCAGGACCAAACAACTATTACTACTTCTATACAAGTAAGTTTTTTTTGTATATAAAAATGTTTAATGTTTTATTGAAAATGTCTAATTTTTATTCCATTTTTGCTCTTTTTTGTCTCAATTCCCCATTAGTATGGCCTGGTTCAGAGGACAATGTTTTGTCGTATTCAATCTAATTGAGCTCATGCAGTTAACGAGAACATCACAGATTTCTTTAATCATCAGATGGACAATGTAAAATTAAATGTGTTAAGTTAATCGATCATTTCTTCATTTTCTATCAGCACTAAAATCTCAATCGCTGCAAGTTTTAGATCTTATAGCGTTTCTTACATTTGTTATTTTAACATTCAATACCAGAATGTGGAGGTACCATAGAGAACCAGTTGCATGGGAAGATATACCTTCCACATCTTTACTCATCGTATATAACCTGCATCTGGAAATTGAAGGCGCCAACTCTAAATACACTGTTCTTACTGATGTTGGAGTCGATTGAGATACCGCTATCCTTTGGTTGCAAGTAAGGAACTCTTGATTCTCTGTTTTCGATTTTAAAGCGGATAACTGTTGTTTTATTTGACAACAGATTTTATTGTCAAAGACCTTACCAAACACAAGAAAACTCGAGAAAATGTTTTCGACAATAGCCTTAACAATTTACATTTTCCCTGACTTGATCAGACTAACCCTGTATTCCCAGATGGTATAGACCTCGTAGGTTCTATAGGAATACAGGGCTAGTCTCAACTCTGGGAAAATTTAGATTTTTAAGGCTATTGTAACCACGACATTTTGTATTTGGTAAGGTCTTTCAGCAAGAGAATCTGTTATCAAATGAAGCTCTGCCGGGTTTTTTTCCGCTTTAAATTCGAAATGGGGTATTTTGCGTCAAACCTGTCATGCGTTTAGACCAATAAGAATATTTTTCTCGACATGCTGTGGGTTTATATATCACTAAAAGTATTCATTTGTTTTACATAGGGACTTTTATATGAAAGTTATCGACGGCGGAGGAAATTTACAAGCAAATTTATGTGGATCGAAACATTCAGTGACAATTGGCTCCATTGGCACGACTGAAATAGAAGTTTATTCAAGAAGACGACGAAAACCTTTTCACATTTTCTCATCTTTTTTCATGCTGCAAAATGGAATTGAAAACAGTAAGGGTTTCACTTTTCCCTTTCTTGCAATTGCGATTTTATTGATTACTGGTTGATTATTTGATTAATTGTTTAATTCATTGACTCTGTTGGTTGCTGGTTTGGTGCTTGCTACTTGCTGTTTTTTTGTTTTTTTGTTTGTTTTAATTAGCTTAGCCCCAAGTTAAGGTACACCGCAACAGCTTGAGCCAATTACTGCGGATCCTGTACTCTCACACTCACTACCTTTACATTAAGTATTTTAGCACACAACACTCCTCACATGTTGATTTTTGCTGTGGGAGGAAAACCGGAGGACCCAGAGAAAAACCCTCGTGGCAAGGGAGAGAACAACACATCAAACACACTCAAACTCACATATGGTCCGTGCCCGGGAATCGAATCCGGCCCACAGCGGTGAGAGGCCAGTATAGCTTAACCATTAGACCACCCGTTTGGTTGATTAATTGATTGGATGTATTGATTGGTAAGTCGTTTTGATTAAAGCAATGAGTTACAATCACCTTTCATTGTTCCTTTAGTTACATCTTTCCAATCATGGAAAATTTCATCTTCTATCAACAACTCGACATCAATTAACGTCAACTGGGAAAAATACCCAGGAGTGGGAAGCGTTAGCAGTTACATTGTGATTTGCACTGCTAATAACCGTCATAGGAACATTTCTGCATCATCAACCAATGGACGGAATCTTAGTTTGGTGGTAAACAACTTGTTGAAATACACAGAGTACAAAGTAGTGGTACTTGCAATGCTTGGAAATTCATCTTTTAATCTCACAAACTTGGATGAGAAGATATTCAAGAGTCAAGAAGTTGTGGTAAAAACTGCTGAAGATGGTAAGATTATTACTGATTATTGTCTGCATTGTTTTTAGTTCGATCACGAGAGCTATATTAGTGCACTTAGGTTTAAATCGTTCGTTATGTTTGACGATAAAAAAAAGAGTTTCTTAATTATTCAACGTCTATTCATTACATTTCGTGACGCATTCTTCAATGCTGGTGAGTAGCATGTTTGATTAATATTTAACAGACGGGCACTAGAGATACTTCAATCCTGGCGAGTACGAACGATATCCCTAGTGCACGTCTATTCGTATATATATTATTATAATAAGTAGAATGAAACAGAACAAAACACCAACTTGAAGCTTTTATAACTCTGTTTTAATATCGCCAGGATTGAGGTATCTCTAGTGCCCTTCTGTTAACTATTAATTAAAGATGCTACAAAGCTGAATTCGAATGATATATTTTTGTACATGAAGGCCATTTGATCTTATCTAATGTATAGTGCCGAGCAAGCCACCACAGAATGTAACTGCCAGATACTTAGGATCAAACAGTGTTGTTGTCAGTTGGAAGCCTGTTGACAAGGAGTTCACTAATGGAGTAATTGTTGGGTACTATGTGTATTATCAAGTGGCATGGACGAATGTAAGCTACTGGGAGAAGGAATACATCAGTTCTGATAAAACAAAGGCTTACCTCAAAAATCTGAAGGATGTGACACTGTACAGAATTGAAGTGTCGGCTGCCACGAAAATCGGCGAAGGTCCCAGAAGCAGAGGGTTGTTCATCAAAACAGGCAAGGCTTCATTATTGTGCCTACCATTCTCGTTAGTTAATATATATTTTATATTGATTTATGTAGTTAGGGTGTGCGAATTTGTTTGGCCACCTAGGATCGATTTCCTGACGCGTCATCCACATGTGCTGTGCTGTGCTGTGCTGTGCTGTGCTGTGCTGTGCTGTGCTGTGCTGTGCTGTGCTGTGCTGTGCTGTGCTGTGCTGTGCTGTGCTGTGCTGTGCTGTGCTGTGCTGTGCTGTGCCCAGAAATTTTAATTTCA